AAAAAAGTTTTTCTTTGTTTCTATTATAAAATTCTGCAAACAGATAAATTTTTTCTCCTTCACTGATGTGCACTGATAGGCAGCACTGGTGGGCGGCACTGCTGGGCACTGATCATCAGGGCACTGGAAATCTCCTTCTCTTGCTCTTGCCACTCATCACCATGTAAACAAAACACCAAATATAGTGTTTATCATCAGACAGATATAAAACCTACTCATACAGCCTTAGGGGTATATACAGTGGGGCAAAAAAAAGTATTTAGTCAGCCACCAATTGTGCAAGTTCTCCCACTTAAAAAGATGAGAGAGGCCTGTAATTGGCATCATAGATAGACCTCAACTATGAGAGACAAAATGAGAAAAAAAATCAGACAATCACATTGGCTGATTTGGAAAGAATTTATTTGCACATTATGGTGGAAAATAAGTATTTGGTCACCTGCAAACAAGCAAGATTTCTTGCTCTCACTGACCTGTACACATTTTTCTTTAAGAGGCTCCTCTGTCCTGCACTCATTACCTGTATCAATGGCACCTGTTTGAAACTTGTTATCAGTATAAAAGACACCTGTCCACAACCTCAAATAGTCACACTCCAAACTCCACTATAGTGAAGACCAAAGAGCTGTTGAAGGACACCAGAAACAAAATGGTAGACCTGCACCAGGCTGGGAAGACTGAATTCTGCAATAGGCAAGCAGCTTGGGTGTGAAACAAATTCAACTGTGGGGAGCAATAATTAGAATATGGAAGACATACAAGACACTGACAATCTCCCTCGATCTGGGGGCTCCACGCAAGATCTCACCCCGTGGGGTCAAAATGATCACAAGAATGGTGAGTAAAAATCCCAGGACCACACGGGGGGGACCTAGTGAATGACCTGCAGAGAGCTGTGGGACCAACGTAACAAAGGCTACCATCAGTAACACACTACGCCGCCAGGGACTCAGATCCTGCAGTGCCAGACGTGTCCCCCTGCTTAAGCCAGTACATGTCCGGGTCTTTCTGAAGTTTGCTAGAGAGCATTTGGATGATCCAGAAGAGGATTTGGAGAATGTCATATGGTCAGATGAAACCAAAATAGAAACTGTTTGGTAGAAACACAACTCGTCGTGTTTGGAGGAGATAGAATGCTGAGTTGCATCCAAGGAACACCATACCTACTGTGAAGTATGGGGGTGGCAACATCATGCTTTGGGGCTGTTTCTCCGCAAAAGGGACCAGGACGACTGATCCATGTACAGGACAGAATGAATGGGGCCATGTATCGTGAGATTTTGAGTGCAAACTCCTTCCATCAGCAAGGGCATTGAAGATGAAACGTGGCTGGGTCTTCCAACATGACAATGATCCCAAACATACCGCCCGGGCAATGAAGGAGTGGCTTTGTAAGAAGCATTTCAAGGTCCTGGAGTGGCCTAGCCAGTCTCCAGATCTCAGCCCCATAGAAAACCTTTGGAGGGAGTTGAAAGTCCGTGTTGCCCAGCGACAGCCCCAAAACATCACTGCACTAGAGGAGATCTGCATGGAGGAATGGGCCAACATACGAGCAACAGTGTGTGCCAACCTTGTAAAGACTTACAGGAAACGTTTGACCTCTGTCATTGCCAAAAAAGGATATATAACAAAGTATTGAGATGAACTTTTGCTATTGACCAAATACTTATTTTTCACCATAATTTGCAAATAAATTCTTTCCAAATCAGCCAATGTGATTGTCTGGATTTTTTTTCTCATTTTGTCTCTCATAGCTGAGGTCTACCTATGATGCCAATTACAGGCCTCTCTCATCTTTTTAAGTGGGAGAACTTGCACAATTGGTGGCTGACTAAATACTTTTTTGCCCCACTGTATACTATGACGGTCCAATCAATTCCTCCTGAAGGAGTCACGTGCCCTGTGACGAAACACTTGGATGATGTCACAACGTTCATACACAAGTTGACAAGTGTCTGTTTATTGGATTGCCTTTTTTTACATAGTGCTATTACAGAAATTTGGTATATCTATTTTGGGTTGTTCATATTTGGTGCAATTTAGCACCTATACGGTGTGAGTAGGTTTCATCTGTCTGATATACAATACACTTTTATAAGGATAAAGCACTATATTTGGTGTTTTTTTGTTTACATGGTGATGAGTGGAAAGAGCAAGAGAAGGAGATTCATATTACTGATGATGTGATCTTTATCAAAGAGGAGACCACCGTCCGCTGGGTTGGACAAAGCAAGTGATGACCAAACACATGTGAGATGTCATAGCGATGAGATGAGAGTATACTTGGTTCACAAATAACTGCGTGTTTTTGGCGCATGAGGGTAGAAAGTGATGCTCTTTATTAATGTATAATCAGAAGAATTATTACCTGCAACTCTATACTACCTGAAAGAACTTTTCTTCATGCAGCTTATTGATTACCATTTGCCACTTGATATCATGTGTTGAACATTTCTGTATGCCATTTATTTTGGCAATTAAAAGGGTTTTATGTACTTAAGATTATATATCTGATTTTCACTGTTTAGGTACTCTGGATATTGTTTATTGCACCTTGCATACAGAGGATTAGGGATTTGGTGGTTTTTATATATCAGTGCTGCACTATTACCTGTTTTTATATATATGATCAGTATGAGGGTCATTTTGGGTGCATAGTGGCTGGTTTATCACTTTGATATTTTTTAGTATACAGTTGACTACAGCACATTATGACATTTATTTATTAGGTAGTTTTTTGGCACTGCATTATGTATTAGTTTCATTTATATATTTTACTTACATTTTTTGGCACTATATATATTAGTCCACACTGGCCATAGGGCACACCGGTCATTTGCCCGATGGGCTGGGGACGCATGTCCTAGGAAGACCGGGCTGCACAGCAGGAGGTAAGTGGCAACCATGGTCGGGACAGGGATAATGCAAAGTGAAACAAAAAACAAGAAGCGCACCAACCTTGCGCATTACCTCAGTAACAGAATTTATTAATAGAAGATAGGTACTCACAAACAGCGAATAAAATCAGGCATGTAGTCCTCAAAGGGACTTCAAAGATAAGAAGCCAGTGCGAATCCCATCATGAGGGTAGACACTCAGTATTTCTGACGCGTTTCGAAGGCTATGCCTTCTTCCTCAGAGCTAACTGGACTGAGAGTGTTAGCTCCCTTTATACCAACTGACTAAAAGTTGGCCCTCCCTATTGGGTTGGGCAGTCTCAGGCTGGGGGGAGGGACTATGGTGTCAACAGTAAATATTAACACATTAGTAGATCACAGAAGACAAATAAATCAATAAATAATTTAACATATATCTATATCTATCTATCTATATATATATATATATACATATACACATATATATATGTATATAACTGATGGCACATTCAATTGGCATGTATAAAAAATAAAAAATTATTATATATATGTAAAATAAAATAAATATATAAAATCTTTAGTCACCATACAAAATATACCAGTAAAAGGGAAAAAACAACATATAGACTTATCTGTGCTGAGGCTAGGTGGAAAGATATGTGATAAACAATTTATTAACACTAACAATACAAACATAAACACAGTGCAATACTAAACATAATACAGTGCAAACAAACCCAAACCAACCACCCACAGATAACAGTACATACAAGCAAGCGTCGTCAGGCAGGCCGGGTCAATATCAATTGGGCAGGTAGGTACAGGGGGAGCAAGCGGAGAATGGTCGGGGTCACAGGCCAGGTTCAGCAGGTAGCAAGCAGCGTAGTACAGAGGGTCAGGCAGAGGGATGGTCAGGGTCACAAGCCAGGGATCAGAACAGGTAGCAAGCAGCGAGGTACAGAGGGTCAGGCAGAGGGATGGTCAGGAGCGAGCCGGGATCAGAGCAGGAGAAGTCAGCAGCAGTTCAGATCAGGCAGGGTCAGCAAAGGAACAGAAACAGGATGCAGGACAGATACAGGGCCCAGGACAAACACAACACCAAGGCAGAGTCTGTGGGTCTGGCCATCCCTTAAATACCCCAGCATAATCAGTTCCAGGTGTTAGCTGGCTGCAAAGTTGAGTCTCTGATTGCTGGGAGCACACCGCTGGCCAGCCCTGGTACTGCAGCTCATAAGGCAGCTGAGTCCCACTATTGCTGGCCAGTCCATTCCTGACAGTACCCCCCCCCCTCAAGGAGCGGCCTCAGGATGCTCCAAACAGTCCTAGCTGGGCAAAATGTTCCACCGCCCGGGTCTGGTAACTGGCGGGATATCAAAGACTGGCACACCGGGCAGGACTCCGGGCAGCGGCACACCGGGCAGGACTCCGGGCAGAGGCACATCGGGCTGGACTCCGGGCAGAGGCACATCGGGCGGACTCCGGGCAGAGGCACACCGGGCAGCAGGCACATCGGGAGGACTCCGGGCAGACATCGGGCACATCGGGCAGGACTCCGGGCAGGACACCGGGCAGAGGCACATCGGGGGCTGGCAGACACATCGGGGCAGAGGCACATCGGATTACCAGGCGAAGCAGCATCGGGCAGCGGGCCACCGGGCAGAGGCACATCGGGCGGGCTCCGGGCAGCAGGCACATCGGGCCCCCAGGGGGGGGCAGCAGGCATCGGGGGCCCCCGGGCGAGGCGACAGGCATCGGGCCCCCGGGCGACAGGCGTCGGGCCCCCAGGCATCGGCGCGGGCCCCCAGGCGGGGCGACAGGCGTCGGGCCCCCAGGCGGGGCGACAGGCATCGGGCCCCCAGGCGGGGCGACAGGCATCGGGCCCCCAGGCGGGGCAACAGGCATCGGGCCCCCGGGCGGGGCGGCGGGCGCCGGGCCCCCAGGCGGGGCGACAGGCATCGGGCCCCCGGGCGGGGGCGACAGGCATCGGGCCCCAGGCCCCCAGGCGGGGGCAACAGGCATCGGGCCCCAGGCGGGGCGACAGGCATCGGGCCCCCAGGCGGGGCGACAGGCGCCTCGGGACCCCCAGGCGGGGGGAGCGACAGGTCTCGGGCCCTCAGGCGGAGCGGCGGGCGCCGGACCCCCAGATGGAGCGACAGGTCTCGGGCCCTCAGGCGGAGCGGCGGGCGCCGGACCCCCAGGGTGGAGCGACAGGTCTCGGGCCCTCAGGCGGAGCGGCGGGCGCCGGACCCCCAGGGCGGAGCGACAGGTCTCGGGCCCCCAGGCGGAGCGACAGGTCTCGGGCCCTCAGGCGGAGCGGCGGGGCGCCGGACCCCCAGATGGAGCGACAGGTCTCGGGCCCTCAGGCGGAGCGGCAGGGGCGCCGGACCCCCAGGACAGGCGGGCGGCAGCGACGGGTCTCGGGCGACAGGTCTCGGGCCCTCAGGCGGAGCGGCGGGCGCCGGACCCCCAGGTGGAGCGACAGGTCTCGGGCCCCCAGGCGGAGCGGCGGTCGCGGACCCCCAGGCGGAGCGACAGGCTCGGGCCCCAGGCGGAGCGGCGGGCGCCGGACCCCCAGGATGGAGCGACAGGTCTCGGGCCCTCAGGCGGAGCGGCGGGCGCGGCACCCCCAGGTGGAGCGACAGGTCTCGGGCCCTCAGGCGGAGCGGCGGGCGCCGAGTCACCAGGCACGACAGTGGGCTCCGAGTCAACTGGCATGACCGCTGGCACTGGGTCAGACATTGGATCGTCTGGCTGGACAGCGGGCATCGGGTCACCAGGCATCAGGTCATTTGGCTCGACCGCGGGCACCGCGTCATCTGGCAAGGCAGTGGGCTCCGAGTCAACTGGTATGACCGCGGGCACTGGGTCAGACATTGGATCGTCTGACTGGACAGCGGGCATCGGGTCACCAGGCATCAAGTCATTTGGCTCGACAGCGAGCACCGCGTCATCTGGCAAGGCAGTGGGCTCCGAGTCAACTGGCATGACCGGGCACTGGGTCAGACATTGAATCGTCTGGCTGGACAGCGGGCATCGGGTCACCAGGCATCAGGTCATTTGGCTCGACAGCGGGCACCGCGTCATCTGGCACAGGCAGTGGGCTCCGAGTCAAGGCAGGCACGAGTCAACAGGGGCAGTGGGCACCGGGTCATCAGGTACCGGATTGTCTGGCTCGACAGCGGGCATCGGGTCACCAGGTATGACAGCGGGCACTGGGTCACCAGGCATCAGGTCATTTGGCTTGCCAGTGGGCACCGCGTCATCTGGCAAGGCAGTGGGCACCGGGTCACCAGGCATTGGATCGTCTGGCTCGACAGCGGGCATCGGGTCACCAGGTATGACAGCAGCGGGTCACCAGGGTATGACAGCGGGCCTGGGTCACCAGGCATCAGGTCATTTGGCTCGCCAGCGGGCACCGCGTCATCTGGCAAGGCAGTGGGCACCGAGTCACCAGGTACGACAGCGGGCTCTGAGTCAATTGGCACGACAGCGGGCACCGGATCAGGTACCGGATCATCTGGATCAACAGCGGGCATCGAGTCAACTGGCCTAATAGGATCGTCAGGCTGGTCAGGCTGGATCAGTTCATCATGCTGGGTAGAGGCATCAGGCTGAATGCCGGCGTCCGGCTGAGTAGAGGCTTCAGGCCGAGTAGAGGCTTCAGGCCGAGTAGAGGCATCAGGCCGAGTAGAGGCTTCAGGCCGAGAGAGGCTTCAGGCTGAGAGAGGCATCAGGCTGAGTACAGGCATCAGGCTGAGTACAGGCTTCAGGCTTCTGAGTAGAGGCTTCAGGCTGAACCACGGAAGGCAGGTTCACCGGTTTGGATACTGGCAGGATGGTATTGGTTGGAAAGAATTTTCGCTTTTTTCTGGTTTTAACTACTGGAGCACTGCAAGTAAACGCAGGTCTGCAAACGAATGGAGCAGCTGGAGACAGAGAAGAACTGGAGGATGGAACAGGAGAGGGAGCAGTTGCTACAGAGGGCTTTTTTACAGGGTTAAAGGCAGGATAGGTGCAGCGAGTGGGAACAGGGTACTGACATGCGGTAGATAGCCAAGTATACTGGGCTGTAACTGGAGGAGCTGTTGGGAATACAGGAGTAGAGTAGAGTTAGAAGCAGGACTGGGTTTTTGTAAGCTGACTGAGGCTGGGTGCAACAAGTCTGTCCATGTCTGCAGTATGGGTTGAACAAAGCTGAGCTTACACAAAGCCTGTCTGGTCAATGACTGCACTGCGTTTATACAATCTCTTAGTGTCTGTGGTGAACATGTGGAATAACGCTCCAGAAAGTAACCCACATCATCCTCTAATAACCACACCAGGGACTCTACCTGGTCTGCACTAAATGGTGGCAAAAATTCATCCCTGCATTCGGGGGAACCAGATGAAACCAACTCTGCACAAACCTCAATCAAAGGCTGCACCTCAGAGAACTCTGTGCCCTGATCTACTAGAACATGAGCGATCCGTATACATTCTAGCAGTTCATCCCGGGTATACTCCTTCAGAGTTTGATAAGCATACTCCCTGTCATCAAACACTAGCAGATATAAATACACAACCTCATCCAGATCCATCCTTCCCAGCAACAAGCCAAGATGGCTTCCCTGTGCAGCCACTTCTGGTCAGGATTGGCCTTGGTGTAATGTCAGGGCTCCCAGGTATGACCAGAGGTGTGTGACTGACGCGCAGGGAAACGCAGACTTCAGATATGTGATAAAACAATTTATTAACACTAACAATACAAACATAAACGCAGTGCAATACTAAACATAATACAGTGCAAACAAACCCAACCAACCACCCACAGATAACAGTACATACAAGCAAGCGTCGTCAGGCAGGCCGGGTCAATATCAATTGGGCAGGTAGGTACAGGGGGAGCAAGCGAGAATGGTCGGGGTCACAGGCCAGGTTCAGCAGGTAGCAAGCAGCGTAGTACAGAGGGTCAGGCAGAGGGATGGTCAGGGTCACAAGCCAGGGATCAGAACAGGTAGCAAGCAGCGAGGTACAGAGGGTCAGGCAGAGGGATGGTCAGGAGCGAGCTGGGATCAGAGCAGGAGAAGTCAGCAGCAGTTCAGATCAGGCAGGGTCAGCAAAGGAACAGAAACAGGATGCAGGACAGATACAGGGCCCAGGACAAACACAACACCAAGGCAGAGTCTGTGGGTCTGGCCATCCCTTAAATCCACCCCAGCATAATCAGTTCCAGGTGTTAGCTGGCTGCAAAGTTGAGTCTCTAATTGCTGGGAGCACCCGCTGGCCAGCCCTGGTACTGCAGCTCATAAGGCAGCTGAGTCCCACTATTGCTGGCCAGTCCATTCCTGACAAAAGTATCCCAATCTTCCTCCCACTTGGGGTACAAGAGTCATTGTAACTTGGCAGGTATTTGAGGAGAATTGAAAAGGATGCCTTCTCTACCCTTTCCCTTGTGTCACGACCAATGTATTTTAAGGCGGCTTTCTCTGTCCTGCTGGCCCTGCTGTATTTGGCCTAGAAAACATTTTCCGATGTTAGGGTTTTATTTTCTGGAAACACCTTTTTATTCACCCTGCATTCCAGTGCTCCTTGAAGAAGGCAGTGGGTTTTCTGGAAGATGCTTTGGCAGAATCGGTTAAGTTACCTACCAGATGCTCTGCTTTAGTGATTTCCATGAGAAGGGCTCTGTGGCTGTGACAAAGGAAAATACCTCAGAATGTGTTGTCTAGATCAGTGTTTCTCAACCTTTTTTCAGTCAAGGCACCTTTTAAAATTATGGACCATCCCGAGGCACCCTTTAAAATTATGGACAGTCTTGAGGCTCCCCATTCTAAAAAGGGAAAAAAACTATTCTAAATAGTGTTATATAACGCAGCAACATCCACACATGTAGGACACCCAACATAAGAGGTGATTTATTTTTCCTACTGCACACTTTTGCATACTGGTACTGACTAGTATTCTAATGTTTCTCTTCTCTCTCAGTTTTTCTGAGCTAATTTGACCCCAGCATTGATGGAGAGTAGCAGATAAAACTAGGATGTTATGCAGGAATCTGACATCCTCCTTAACTGATGGTTCCACCCGCTGGTTTGTATAGAAGTTTTGGGCAATTTTTAGACATTTTGCCAAGAAACCTCAAGGCACCCTGTTTGAGAAAGGCTGGTCTAGATGTTCCCACCGAGATGTGCATTTGCAACTGAGTTAGCCAGCAATCACGATTCCTGGCAACACAGGTGGCTGCTGGGGCAGGCTTCAGGCTCCTAGAGGTAATGTCCCAAGCACTATGGAACAAGTCCTATGGAACAAAAACCAGAGTTAGAGTACGGGTAACTCATTTTCTAGAAGTCTTCCAGGACAGCTCTTGAGACGTAGAGCTCCTCCCTCAGGAACAAGAACTGCGTAAGCCCAGAACCTTAAAAAGGTGGTCCTCCAGGCCTCCTTCTTCAGTATTCCCAAGAACCACAGGAAGGCACTAAAAAACAAATATTTACGCATAATCTTACATCACCATATTAAGAGAACAAACAGGGCAGGAAATCCCAGCTGTCCTGGAAGACTTCTAGAAAATAAGTTGCCTGCAAGTCTAACTCTTGCGCTCAAATGATCCTCACTAGAAAGAATATCCAGCTGATAATGTATCACATAGTAGAGTAGCTGGACCAGGTGGGTGCTTTACAAATATGTGCCCATGATGCAGACAAGGCTCTGGTTGAGTGTGCATTGACAAATGGGGGAGGAATTTCTAACAAATTTCTAACAAGTCTATGGTGGATTTGGATGCACTGCAACCCTTCCGTGGACCGGAAAAAATTACAAAGAAATAATCAGATTTCCTTGGAAATACTAAGGTAAGCCAAAAGGCTTTCTCAAAATTATATCCTGAGACCTATGAAAGGAAAAGAAAACTTTGGGAAGAAAACCGGGATCTGTTTGGAGAACAATCCTATCTTAAACTGACAAAAAGGGTTCCCTAATAAAAAGTGCCCGCAACTCACTAACCCTATGGGCTGACATGATTGCTATCAAACACCCAGTCTTTAAAGTTAAAAACTTAATTGAAGACTTCTCCAGAGGTTCAAAGGGACTAGGGGCCAAGGCTTTCAAGACTAAAGACAGATCCCAAGCTGCACAGAACTTGCCTATCACTGGCCTGGACTTGGAGAGGGCCCTGAAAAAAATCTGCTACGAAAAGGATCTTGCTGGAGAAAGACTTGAAAGAAAATACTAAGAGCCGAGGCTTGCACCTTTAAAAAGGTGCTTACCAAGAGACCCTGGTCTGTCCCGTCCTGGAAAAAATCCAAGACTGCCGAGATATCCGGAGGACCCCGATACTGAAAAGACTAGGACCCTTACTGAAATGACCAGATTGCTTTGCAGATAAATAAAGTGCAGCACTTAAAAAAATTAATTAAAAGGTGTGTTAATAAATATCTCCAATGGATAAAATAGTTTGTATAGTGTATAAAATGGATGATCTACTTCAGCAGCAGATTTCAAAAACAGGCTTGTGACAGGAACCGATAATAGAATTGCACACTCACCAGAAGCGCATAGATAATGTGCATATAATCAATAACCACCAGGATCTCTTAAGTTGGCAGAATGTATAGGTGAGCTTCCATCTGTGGATTGGTCAGCAAGTCTTGGGAAAATGTGGAAATCTGCTGGGTCCAGAGGTCCCCTTAAGGATGGATGGGTGCTCAGCCTGGATACAGGGCTCCCTCCCTCTGGATATTGGATCAAATAAGGGTGTCCTGCAAGTTAATTAGCTCCAAATGGGAGCCAAAAAACAGGTGCCCATAGTGTAGTATGGTAAAGTATTTATTTCAGTAAATGTAGGTTTAAAAACACACAGGATAGTATTCCACAGTTATGCAGCAGTACTGACCCTAGTAAAGATGGCCGCTGGGCTTCCTCGTGGCTCCGGCGGCAGTGACGTCACGCTCTGTTAGCTTTGCCAGCACCTGGTCTATCTTGAGAAATGTTTCCTCTAGAAGGAAGAGCTTCCTTTCCACCGAGGAAATCTCGTATACCAGATAGGAAATCTTCTGGGAAGGAGTCAAGCATGACTTGTCTCTGTTGATGAGCCACCCTAAACTCAGAAGGAAGTCCTGAGCAACCCACATATCCTTGGATAAGAATTAGCCAAGAAGAGCAGACCATCCAAATAGGGCATGATAGTAATAGATTTCAATCTTAAAGGGGCCAAAGCCTCTGCTAGAACTTTCATGAAAATTCTCAGTACTGAGGCTAGACCAAAATGTATAGCTCGACACTGAAAGTGGTGGATCTCTGAACCGAATGACTGCCATCCCCAGGTATTTCTGAAATGCATGGTGTATGGGGATGTGAAGATATGCATCCTGCAGTTCTAGCATGACCATTAAACAATCTAGATAAAGGATGCTCCTTACAGAGAAGATTGATTCCATCCTGAAATTTTGCCTGCTACTTTTTTCACCACAAAACACATGGGAATAAAATTCCATTCCCTGCTTGTTTTGGGGAACCCGAGCTAGGACTTGTTGATCCACTAGGTCCCTGACTAGACCACACAGAGCCTGTGCCTTCTCCTGAACCCTGGAAAGGTTGGTCACTAGATACCTGGAGGGGGGACTGGAGTCGAAATCAGACCTGTACCCCTTTTCTACTAAAGCTAAAATGCACAGGTTTAAGGAAATTGACGCCCACTGAGGGTCAAAGTTCCCCCATCTTCCTCCCCACCGAGACACTCGAGTTATTGGGACTTGGTGGAAGCCTGAGGAGGATTGAATAGGATCCCCCCCTTACCCTTGTTATTGTGCCCTGCCCAATGTTTCTGTGATGCCCATAGCTTTTGCTGGGTCTTTAGCTACACAGCACCAGCCACCCAAGTAATCCTGCTGCCTGTGCCACTGTGGAGAAAGGAACCACGAGTTCCCAGCGCACACTAATGATGTCACTCCGTCCAGAACTTCTGACAAACCAGCTTGGAGCGCAGCCACTCCGCCTACTGGAAGTAGCGGTCAACTCCGCCTTTCCACCCGGTGAAGGATGCTGAGCTGTCCAGTATCCCTCGCTGTTGGCACCATCAGCGGTCTTCTCTCCCCTTGAGGATTTAAATGCAACGAGCACAACCCCACTGCCCCTCTCTAATGGAGGGATCGCGACGGGCGAGGAGGAGGAGGCAGTAACTCCATACCACTAGGAGCCACAGCACAGCCCTTGAGCCTAGGGCTCCAACACAGATTGCGACACGTCCATCCTATCCTTCTGGAGGAAACAAACTGAAGGAGGCCTGGAGAACCACCTTTTAAGGTTCTGGGCTTACGCGTTTCCTGTCCAGAAGGGAGGAGCTCGATGTATCAAGGACTATCCTGGAAGATGTTTTTGAGAAACATATATCCCCTCACTTATACATGGGATCCTTGAGTGCCCATTTCATCAAAGGCCAAGTCTGTATTTTTTTTTATAATGAAATAATTACTTGTGAGCCACCTGGAGTTAACCTACTCTATTATTAAATCAATTTCATATAAAGAAAAATTAATATGTGAGACTCTTATAGTGTTTTGTTAATTGTGTACTTAAATCAATATTAGATCGCTAGGCACTAATTACACCCTCTCTAGGTGTGTGAATGTAAACTATGAATTCCAATGTTGTACCGCGCTCCAATATTATTAACCTTTAGTGATTATGTGAATCTCTTAATATACCACCTATATAATCCAATCATTTCTTACATCTAAAATACTTAAATATACAATTGATATATATATATGTAAATTAAATCATATTGTAAATATAAAAAATTAATCTGTATCAAAAAATTAAATGTGAATAAAATGAAAATTCATGAAAAATTAATAAAAAAAGTGAAAAATAAAAATGTCAATTATATATAAATAGAAAAAAATTTAATTAAAAAATGGGAATGTCAATCCTTTTCTTTGAAATTGAGATGGTGTTGTTATTCAATTTAATTAATGTGATATGTCTGTGTTCACAGCTTGAACTCTCTCTCCTGTCTCCTCTCCTCTCTCCTCAGCACAGCCTTCTTAAATGTGCTTTCTTCACTGACTGCTTCATTTATTCCTCCATATACGGAACATGCAGAGAAGGGAAAAGAAACATAGTGTCTTATCCGGGATATAAATGATTTCCTATACAAAATAGGTATTCCCCATTAGAATCAGAAGAATCATACACGCCTTTACCAACCCTTATCTGGGATATAAATGATTTATTGCTCTTTGATCTCCCACTCACATTGTGTAAATATAAATAGCGCTTTGCATACAATGTATCCAGATCGTGCTTCAGACAGCCTGGCTGGTGTGTTTGCTTTCAGTAAGTATACTCGCCGTTCCTCTGTGGAAGCGTGATGACGTCACCGCCCCTCCCCTACGCGTTACGCTACAGGGACTCGTAACTTCCTCTGGGGGATGTAGTTTTGCATGCCATCATGCACAGAGGCTATTTATATCCTGCCGGCGCCATTTTTGGTATGATTTTTTTAACTATTCATTACTCCTCCATTACTTTGGAGTCCAGACTGTATCCCAATGTTATTCATATTATATATACAAAGTGCGCATCATCATCCTCCGGCTGTATACTTAATGCTTACATCCACACCCCTCACAATCTGGATTACAATCTTATATTTGATCACCAACATTAAATTATAATCAATCTATCTATATTATCCAAAAGTTATATTATATTAACCCCTTTAGTTTCTAAAATTAAACTTATGTATATTATTTACCATACTTTATTTATACAGACTTTTTATTCTTAAAAAATGTATATTTTTTAAACATATACCCTAAATTTAATTTACATTAAATATAAAAATAAATTTGGGTGAATAAAATCACGTATAACTATACGAAAAATCAATATAACAAATCAATAATAAAAAAAGAGTATAAAATTTAATAGAATTTAATAAAAATTGAATGATTAAAAAAAAAAAAAAATTTAAATAAAATTAAAATAAAATAAAAAAAAATAAGTGTTACAAAAAAAAAACAAAAAAGAAAAACCAACAGAATTAAAAATACTTAATAATATATCTAAATAAAAAATAAAAATATATTTATTTATCTATTTAATAAAATTCAATATTATGCGGACTTCATAGCTTAAATAATACTTTGAAATTATTGTACATACTATTCACTACTTAGTGTCTTTATCATTAATCATTCTGTTTTCCCCTTATTTTGTACTTTATTTAAAAATCACTCAAAAAACAAGCTATATTCAATATTCAATACTTAGTATCTTTATCATTAATCTTTCTGTTTTCCCCTTATTTCATTCTTTATTTAAAAATCGCTCAAGAAACAAGCTAGATCAAATTCCTTGTTTAATCCCAACGGATACAAGGAATTCATTTGATATATCCACTGGGATTCTTTCTTACTTATTTCTCTAATGAGATTATCTCCTCTCCAGTGTGCCTTATGCTTTTCAATTCCCCAAAATTCTAGGCCTTCTGTTTTTTGTTCATGATATAGTTTAATGATACATTATGATATTTATAACCTTTTGAAATGTTCCGAACATGCTCCTTTATTCTCTCTTTTAGCATGCGTTTTGTTCTTCCTATATAAATTTTATTGCACGGACATTTCAATGCATATATTACCCCCTTGGTGTCACATGATATGAATTGTTTAATCTTAAATGTTTTACCATTTATCAAATTGGTGAAATACGTTCTTTTTCTGTGGTTATTTTTTGTTCTGATACAACTATAACATCTTCCACACTTATAAAATCCAATTTCCTGAAAAAAAAGTAAGTGAATTTTGTTTAGGTGGATTTAATACGTTCTTCACTATCTTGTCTCTGATATTAGGGGCTTTTTTATAAATGAATCTTGGGTTTTCAGGGATACTATCTTTTAGATCTTTATCTAACTTTAATATGTCCCAATGTTTATTTATTATTCTTTGCACATCTTTATATTGCTTGTTGTACGGCATTATAATAGTCATAACATTATCCATACTATTGTTATTCTGACTTTTTGTTAGTAATATTCTTCTATCTAGTACTCCTACCCTATCTCTTTATTCCACTATATATTCTTTTTTGTACCCTTTATTAATGAATCTCTTTATGAGGATGTCACTCTGTTCCTGGTAATCAATATCATGTGTACAATTTTGTCTCAGTCTCATAAACTGCCCTCTGGGTATGTTCTTTATCCATGCTTTATGATGGCAACTGTGGGTGGGTATATATGAATTTCTATCTGTAGTTTTAAAGTAATTTTTTGTAGACATTTTTGATCCTTCTTTCACTAGCCATATATCCAAAAAATTGATGGTTTTATCGCTGCTATTCCAGCTAAGTGATATATTGTGATCATTATTGTTTAATTCCATATAGAATTGTGCTAGTGACGTTTCATTTCCTTTCCAAACTAGAATTATGTCATCTATATAACTATAGTATGCTATAAGTTCTTGTTTGTGATTTTTGAATATTGTGTCTTCCTCCCATTGTGCCATATATAAATTTGCTATACTGGGGGCAAAACGTGCCCCCATTGCTACTCCTTTGGTCTGCAGGTAATACTTATTATTATACCAGAAGAAGTTATGTTTGAGACAGAATGTTAGGCATTTAATCAGGTATTTTTTCTGTTTTTTATGCAAATCCGAATACTTTTCTAATGCCCACTTTGCTGCTTCAATAGCCCCATCATGGTCAATATTTGTGTACAATGAGGTGACATCCGCTGTACTTAATATGCTATCATCAGTAAGTGTTAGATTTTGCATTATTTGAATTATATGCCTGGTGTCTTTCAAATATGCCTTCGTTTGTACCACCAATGGTTGCAAATATTGATCTATATATGCTCTCATCCTTGCCGTTAAAGAATCTATCCCATTTATTATAGGTCTCATTGGGGGATTCACAGGATTTTTATGGATCTTAGGTATTGAGCATATTACGGGTAGTTTACATACTGTTGGTACTAAATACTTGGTTTCTTTTTCATTCAATATATGCTTTTTATTGCCATAATTTACTAACTTTATTAACTCTTTTTTATACTCTTTATTTGGATTGTTCTTAAGTACTTGATATGTACTTTCATCTTTTAACATATCCTCCATAGATTGTTCATAAAATGTTTTGGAAAGTATGACTATCCCTCCCCCCTTATCTGCCGGCCTAATAACAATGTTTTTTCTCTCCTTTAGGCTTTTAAATTCCTTTCTCAAGGTTATAGTTGTATTTGTGCTTCTGTGTCTTCAATTGTTCTAAATCTTTTGTTACTAATTTTTTAAAAGTTGTTATATATGTATTATCGCTAAATTTGGGGTTGAAAACAGATTTGTTTTTAAGATCACTGTGTTGATACTTTAATATTTTGGCCTCTTGATTGTATTCTATCGGATTTTGAGCATAATATTTTTTAATATTTAATTTTCTTATAAATTTCTGTAAACTTATGTACATTTCAAATTTGTTCAATCCTTTATTAGGAGCATACTTCAAGCCCTGGTCTAATGCGTATATTTCTTCTTGTTTTAGGGGTGTTCCACTTAGATTAAAGATGCCTTCCCCTTTTAATCTCTCCTTCTCTTTTTGTTTGTGTTTTCTTCCTCCTCTATTTCCCCTCTTTCTACCGTGTTTTGATTGGCTTCTACTAGATTTTGATTCCACTCTAAAAAAGGGGTTGGTAAAGGCGTGTATGATTCTTCTGATTCTAATGGGGAATACCTATTTTGTATAGGAACTTTGAATGATTGCGGTGTATTTCTTATCCGGTTGTTATTTACATATTCTGATGTGTATGTATTTGTATTGTCATTCCTGTATTCACTTCTGTAATTTGGCCCATAATTTCTACCTTGATTGTAATAATTTTGGCCTTGGTGATAGTAATTTTGATGCCCTCTATGGTTATAACCTCTGTTTCTATTTCTATAGTATGGTCTCCCTCTTGGTTGTTGATATGGTGGTGGGCCTCTGTTTTGGTAATAATATGGTGTTTGACCCCTATAATCATTATTGGGATATTGTGTGTAACTCTTATTTATTGTAATATTCTTCTCTCACCTGTTGTGATATAGGTGTTTTTTTTAAAGATTGTGGTAGTGGGACCATTTGTTCTTGTTGCTGCACCAATATCTTTTTTGGTTGCATTTTGGGTGTATGTTGACATGCTTCTTTAGATGAATTATTGACAAAATTGATAGTTTTTTTAGTTGTCAATTTATTATTCTTTTGATTCCTGACTGGAGTACTGTCTGTCGATTTTAATCCTGTTATATCAGGTTGTTGCCATTTATATATTTGTTTCAAATTGTATTCTTGCATTACTTTTTGGTATTTTTTCTTTTTCCTATTCTGGATCTCCAAATCTTTATTCTTCACATTTTTTCCTAATTCTGTCATGTATTTGTTAAAGTCTGGATGTTCTTTATGTGTTTCCACTTTCTCTCTATATTCCTTTAATATATTTTCTATCTTGAGCATTTTTCTCTGCCTTCTTTTTATCAGGAATAATATCAATTCCATACTCTTCTCACTAAAGAAGTTGAACCACTCTATCACATCATCCTCCTCCAACAATCCATCAGCTATGGGTATGTCCCATCTCAATTTTTTAGGTATAATTTTTTCTTTCAAATATTTTTCTAAGGTTGTCATATCCCATCATACATTTAATTTCTTCTCCATAATATGTGTGATTTTCCTAAATAAGTTTGTGTATATTAATATCTATTTTCTCTTCTCCTTGAAAAACATTATCTATATCAATGTGTCTATTTTCCAAAAAATTAAAAACCTCCATTGTGTCTACAAACAAATATGTGAGATATTGAATACAATTATAATGAAATAATTACTTGTGAGCCACCTGGAGTTAACCTACTCTATTATTAAATCAATTTCATATAAAGAAAAATTAATATGTGAGACTCTTATAGTGTTTTGTTAATTGTGTACTTAAATCAATATTAGATCGCTAGGCACTAATTACACCCTCTCTAGGTGTGTGAATGTAAACTATGAATTCCAATGTTGTACCGCGCTCCAATATTATTAACCTTTAGTGATTATGTGAATCTCTTAATATACCACCTATAATCCAATCATTTCTTACATCTAAAATACTTAAATATACAATTGATATATATATATGTAAATTAAATCATATTGTAAATATAAAAAATTAATCTGTATCAAAAAATTAAATGTGAATAAAATGAAAATTCATGAAAAATTAATAAAAAGTGAAAAATAAAAATGTCAATTATATATAAATAGAAAAAAATTTAATTAAAAAATGGGAATGTCAATCCTTTTCTTTGAAATGAGAGATGGTGTTGTTATTCAATTTAATTAATGTGATATGTCTGTGTTCACAGCTTGAACCTCTCTCTCCTGTCTCCTCTCCTCTCTCCTCAGCACAGCCTTCTTAAATGTGCTTTCTTCACTGACTGCTTCATTTATTCCTCCATATACGGAACATGCAGAGAAGGGAAAAGAAACATAGTGTCTTATCCGGGATATAAATGATTTCCTATACAAAATAGGTATTCCCCATTAGAATCAGAAGAATCATACACGCCTTTACCAACCCCTTTTTTAGAGTGGAATCAAAATCTAGTAGAAGCCAATCAAAACACGGTAGAAAGAGGGGAAATAGAGGAGGAAGAAAACACAAACAAAAAGAGAAGGAGAGATTAAAAGGGGAAGGCATCTTTAATCTAAGTGGAACACCCCTAAAACAAGAAGAAATATACGCATTAGACCAGGGCTTGAAGTATGCTCCTAATAAAGGATTGAACAAATTTGAAATGTACATAAGTTTACAGAAATTTATAAGAAAATTAAATATTAAAAAATATTATGCTCAAAATCCGATAGAATACAATCAAGAGGCCAAAATATTAAAGTATCAACACAGTGATCTTAAAAACAAATCTGTTTTCAACCCCAAATTTAGCGATAATACATATATAACAACTTTTAAAAAATTAGTAACAAAAGATTTAGAACAATTGAAGACACAGAAGCACAAATACAACTATAACCTTGAGAAAGGAATTAAAAACCTAAAGGAGAGAAAAAACATTGTTATTAGGCCAGCAGATAAGGGGGGAGGGATAGTCATACTTTCCAAAACATTTTATGAACAATCTATGGAGGATATGTTAAAAGATGAAAGTACATATCAAGTACTTAAGAACAATCCAAATAAAGAGTATAAAAAAGAGTTAATAAAGTTAGTAAATTATGGCAATAAAAAGCATATATTGAATGAAAAAGAAACCAAGTATTTAGTACCAACAGTATGTAAACTACCCGTAATATATACTCAATACCTAAGATCCATAAAAATCCTGTGAATCCCCCAATGAGACCTATAATAAATGGGATAGATTCTTTAACGGCAAGGATGGGAGCATATATAGATCAATATTTGCAACCATTGGTGGTACAAACGAAGGCATATTTGAAAGACACCAGGCATATAATTCAAATAATGCAAAATCTAACACTTACTGATGATAGCATATTAAGTACAGCGGATGTCACCTCATTGTACACAAATATAGACCATGATGGGGCTATTGAAGCAGCAAAGTGGGCATTAGAAAAGTATTCGGATTTGCATAAAAAACAGAAAAAATACCTCATTAAATGCCTAACATTCTGTCTCAAACATAACTTCTTCTGGTATAATAATAAGTATTACCTGCAGACCAAAGGAGTAGCGATGGGGGCACGTTTTGCCCCCAGTATAGCAAATTTATATATGGCACAATGGGAGGAAGACACAATATTCAAAAATCACAAACAAGAACTTATAGCATACTATAGATATATAGATGACATAATTCTAGTTTGGAAAGGAAATGAAACGTCACTAGGACAAAATTGTACACATGATATTGATTACCAGGAACAGAGTGACATCCTCATAAAGAGATTCATTAATAAAGGGTACAAAAAAGAATATATAGTGGAAGAAAGAGATAGGGTAGGAGTACTAGATAGAAGAATATTACTAACAAAAAGTCAGAATAACAATAGTATGGATAATGTTATGATTATTATAATGCCGTACAACAAGCAATATAAAGATGTGCAAAGAATAATCAATAAACATTGGGACATATTAAAGTTAGATAAAGATCTAAAAGATAGTATCCCTGAAAACCCAAGATTCATTTATAAAAAAGCCCCTAATATCAGAGACAAGATAGTGAAGAACGTATTAAATCCACCTAAACAAAATTCACTTACTTTTTTTTCAGGAAATTGGATTTTATAAGTGTGGAAGATGTTATAGTTGTATCAGAACAAAAAATAACCACAGAAAAAGAACGTATTTCACCAATTTGATAAATGGTAAAACATTTAAGATTAAACAATTCATATCATGTGACACCAAGGGGGTAATATATGCATTGAAATGTCCGTGCAATAAAATTTATATAGGAAGAACAAAACGCATGCTAAAAGAGAGAATAAAGGAGCATGTTCGGAACATTTCAAAAGGTTATAAATATCATAATGTATCATTACACTTTAAACTATATCATGAACAAAAAACAGAAGGCCTAGAATTTTGGGGAATTGAAAAGCATAAGGCACACTGGAGAGGAGATAATCTCATTAGAGAAATAAGTAAGAAAGAATCCCAGTGGATATATCAAATGAATTCCTTGTATCCGTTGGGATTAAACAAGGAATTTGATCTAGCTTGTTTCTTGAGCGATTTTTAAATAAAGAATGAAATAAGGGGAAAACAGAAAGATTAATGATAAAGATACTAAGTATTGAATATTGAATATAGCTTGTTTTTTGAGTGATTTTTAAATAAAGTACAAAATAAGGGGAAAACAGAATGATTAATGATAAAGACACTAAGTAGTGAATAGTATGTACAATAATTTCAAAGTATTATTTAAGCTATGAAGTCCGCATAATATTGAATTTTATTAAATAGATAAATAAATATATTTTTATTTTTTATTTAGATATATTATTAAGTATTTTTAATTCTGTTGGTTTTTCTTTTTTGCGTTTTTTTTTTTGTAACACTTATTTTTATTTTATTTTATTTTAATTTTATTAAAATTTTTTTTTTTTTTTAATCATTCAATTTTTATTAAATTCTATTAAATTTTATACTCTTTTTTTATTATTGATTTGTTATATTGATTTTTCGTATAGTTATACGTGATTTTATTCACCCAAATTTATTTTTATATTTAATGTAAATTAAATTTAGGGTATATGTTTAAAAAAATATACATTTTTTAAGAATAAAAAGTCTGTATAAATAAAGTATGGTAAATAATATACATAAGTTAATTTTAGAAACTAAAGGGGTTAATATAATATAACTTTTGGATAATATAGATAGATTGATTATAATTTAATGTTGGTGATCAAATATAAGATTGTAATCCAGATTGTGAGGGGTGTGGATGTAAGCATTAAGTATACAGCCGGAGGATGATGATGCGCACTTTGTATATATAATATGAATAACATTGGGATACAGTCTGGACTCCAAAGTAATGGAGGAGTAATGAATAGTTAAAAAATCATACCAAAAATGGCGCCGGCAGGATATAAATAGCCTCTGTGCATGATGGCATGCAAAACTACATCCCCCAGAGGAAGTTACGAGTCCCTGTAGCGTAACGCGTAGGGGAGGGGCGGTGACGTCATCACGCTTCCACAGAGGAACGGCGAGTATACTTACTGAAAGCAAACACACCAGCCAGGCTGTCTGAAGCACGATCTGGATACATTGTATGCAAAGCGCTATTTATATTTACACAATGTGAGTGGGAGATCAAAGAGCAATAAATCATTTATATCCCGGATAAGACACTATGTTTCTTTTCCCTTCTCTGCATGTTCCGTATATGGAGGAATAAATGAAGCAGTCAGTGAAGAAAGCACATTTAAGAAGGCTGTGCTGAGGAGAGAGGAGAGGAGACAGGAGAGAGAGGTTCAAGCTGTGAACACAGACATATCACATTAATTAAATTGAATAACAACACCATCTCAATTTCAAAGAAAAGGATTGACATTCCCATTTTTTAATTAAATTTTTTTTCTATTTATATATAATTGACATTTTTATTTTTCACTTTTTATTAATTTTTCATGAATTTTCATTTTATTCACATTTAATTTTTTGATACAGATTAATTTTTTATATTTACAATATGATTTAATTTACATATATATATATCAATTGTATATTTAAGTATTTTAGATGTAAGAAATGATTGGATTATAGGTGGTATATTAAGAGATTCACATAATCACTAAAGGTTAATAATATTGGAGCGCGGTACAACATTGGAATTCACTGTATTTTTTTTTAAATATACATATCCCCTCACTTATACATGGGATCCTTGAGTGCCCCCATTTCATCAAAGGCCAAGTCTGTATTTTTTTTTAAATATACAAGAGGGGTGTGTCCAGCTTCAGAACCTTGTTCCATGGCTGAGCCAAATATTCTTTAAAAAGGAAATCTTGGGGGGCAAATCCGCAGTACCACGGAGGACAGCCGCATGTAGCAGGAGCTCCGTCCCTGCTTCAGTCTCTTATGGACTCCCTGGGGCTATTCTCTCCCTCGATATTGTCCAGAATCAGCTGATCACCCCTAGGAGATCATTTTGCATGTCATCGACCAAAAAGAAAAGTAAGGTGACTGCACAGAAATCCCTTACAAATTATCTTCTAGAGACACAGGAAGCTCTGCAGCATGTCACAAGATGGCGCCGATGGAGCATCCCCATCCCATTTCACACAGGATACAGCAGACCATTCACCTGCACAGAATTTTGTGAGTATTCACAGCAGCTTACAAAGGGGGACTTACAGAAATCTCTGGCACATGCTAACATTTTTGTTGACACATCTACAATAAGGAAAATATTAAACAAGAATGGAGTACATGGGAGGACACCACGGAGGAAGCCATTGCTGTCCAAAAAGAATATTGCAGCACGTTTGAAGTTTGCAAAAGAGCACCTGGATGTTCCACAGCACTACTGGCAAAATATACTGTGGACAGATGAAACCAAGATTGAGTTGTTTGGGAAGAACACACAACACTATGTGTGGAGAAAAAAAGGCACAGCACACCAACATCAAAACCTCATTCCCACTGTAAAACATGGCGGAGGGAGCATCATGGTTTGGGGCTGCTTTGCTGCCGCAGGGCCTGGACGGATTGTTGTCATTGATGGGAAAATAAATTCCAGAGTTTATCAAGACATTTTGCAGGAAAACGTACGACCATCTGTCCGCCAACTGAAGCTCCGCAGAGGATGGGTGATGCAACGGGACAATGACCCAAAGCATACAAGTAATTCAACAAAACAATGGTTGCAACAGCACAGAATACGCCTTCTGGAGTGGCCCAGTCAGAGTCCTGACCTCAACCCAACTGAAATGCTGTCGCATGACCTTAAGAGAGCCATTCACACCAGACATCCCAAGAATATTGCTACACTGAAACAGTTTTGTGAAGAGGAGTGGTCCAAAATTACTCCAGATCGTTGTGCAGGTCTGATCTGCAACTACAGGAAACGTTTGGTTGAGGTTATTGCTGCCAAAGGAGGGTCAACCAGTTAAGTCCAAAGGTTCACATACTTTTTCCTCCCTGCACTGTGAATGTTTACATGTTATGTGCAATTAAACCATGGCAACATCTAATGTTTCTGTAGTATTATGTTCAGCAGACTGTGTTCTTCTATTGTTGTGACTTAAATGACGTTCAGAGCACATTTTATGCCCAATTCATGCAAAACTCCACGTAATCCCAAGGGGTTCACATACTTTTTCTTGCAACTGTAGTGGTTTACTGAGATCTTTTTTCTGTATTCTGATTGGTGCTTTATGGAAACCGCCTGAAATATGCTGTGTTATCATTTATTACTTAAGGTCTAATCAATAATAAAGAAGTTGAATCCTGCCTCGCACAACTAGGTATTTATGTCGCAGTGTTCCCAAAGTACTTTGAACTGTATGTCATTGTATGAGAGGAAGAGGGCCCTAAATTGATGTTCCTGACAGAACTGGTGTCAGAAGTGGGATAGGAGCAGCCATCGGAGGTAAGTGAGCATTTTCTGTCTTACTTTGCCCTGATTGTCCCCTATCTCGACCAAGCCTCTGTGCTGCGGTAGCACGAGCAGTTGTCCGCTGGAGCTTTGGGAGCTTGCGGGGTTAAACAGAACCTAGGTTCATTTTAAGAAATTTGTGTGTATCATCCACACAATCATACAGAGTAGTGTGCAAAGTGCTTATGTACGCTTGCAACTACAGAGACTGCTAAGTAGATGTATTATAAGTCTCTGTAGGACTGTGAGACGCACCATCTACTCAGCGAGGAGATTTCTCCGTTGACCTGGGATAGGTGAAAGCATGGTGACAGTCTGAAGGAGTCAGAATAGGGGTGTATCTGTCCAGGTGATTTTAAGCCTTGAAGCGCTTGTGCAGTTGAGAAGAATTTTGTCGGACCTCTACGTGAGTTCAGTACAGCTTCACCCTGCACAAAGAGTAATCACCTGGAGAGAAACAAATAGGCCAGCTCGCATAACATTGCTTTCTTGCTTTTCAGTGATGATGGGAAACTCCCACGGTAAGGGGAATTACCCAGACCCTCCTAAGCCACCGCGTAAAGTGTTAAGAGAAAGAAAATTGTTAAAAAAATTAGCTAAGGAAAACGGATCAGCTCTAGGAATATCCCAAATACCAGCTAATGAAACATGTAAAGAGTTTGTTGCCCGAGTGTCACCTTGGGATGATTATTATGTTGTTCCATGGGTGGACAGCTTGGCGGGGTGGAGTTCCATTATGGGGAGTGCCAGTCCCTTTCCCAGAGATTGGGACAATGTTGATTTTCATATGGAGATGATAAAGGGGATATGTTTAGGGGACAAAACTTCTTTTCCCTATTTTGGTCCAGATCCTGAGTGGGATATGAACTATATGAGAGGGAGTACATTGAATTGGTTGAAGTATGCCCCAGGATATAAGCACCCAACACCAATCCCTTCTGCCCCAGTAGCTAAACAGAGAATAACCCTTTTTGTGACACTTTTTTGACACCTACTACTGCGCTGCCTGATTATATTCAGCTGTATCCTCAGCTCCCTACAGATAAGGATGAGGATTATTTGTTGTCATGTAATCAGAGGAAACAAGCGTTAGGCTCTGTCCCAGCCCAGGAGCCCCCACCGTCACTCACCGATGGAAGAGGCCATTTGGCAGTGATCGATGGAGATGGGGAGGATTCTAAGGAAAAAGAGCCAGATTAAGGTTTATCATTGCAAGAAATAAATAAGGAGTGGAAAGAGACAAAAGCTGCGTGGGGAAAGACATTAGACCAGATGCAGCAAACTGTGGCTGCTCTGTCGTACAGGACAAAGAAGGAGAAAGGTAAAAAAGGCAAGGTAGGGAAAAAGAGCAATGAAATCAGGTAGACAGACATCAATGGTGACAAAGCAGACAGTACAGGAGAGG